TAGAGAAACCAATAAATGAAGTCAGTATGCTGTTGGAAGTTGCAAGAAAAAGAGAAATCCCTCACAAAAACATAGGAAGAACAAATGCAAATTCCGCACGAAGGTGCCCAGGATGACTTGAACTCCAGACCAAATTGCTGTGCGGCAGCAGTAGTAATCACCTGCTGTCCTGGCAAAATCTTTCCTCGGGGCCCCAGGAGATAAACTGCAGACACAGCCTGACAGCACCTGAATCTGTCCAATGACTTACACCGGGACATTCGGAAAGCAGCTCTCTTTGAAGAATTGTCTGATTTCATGATGCTGCCCACACCAACATCAGATTAAAATGCTTCTGTTATGATGGCACAATTTGGAACAATGAAGAACGTAATGGCCTGTGGATTCTTCAATTACTTTCCTGCTGTGGCTGCTCAGTGTGTTGAGCTTACAGTCATTCAGGTGTTCAGAGTTAACAGTGCCAGCAGGGCGATTTTCTGAAGTCACACTGCCACCTGGTGGCCCGACACTGCAGTGACAACTACAATACTACTGGCCAGCTTCAATAAACACAGCTCCTGAGACTTTTAATACAGACCTATTCCCTGTGCACGGATCACCGATTTCAAGTTAATACAGTCTGGGATTATAGGGTTTTTTTTTACATTAATTTGTCGTGACCTCATTTGGCACAGTGTATTCTAAATTCAGAATTACAAACATATTTGAATGAGGCTGAGCCTCAAACTAAATCTTTTTAACGAGTATGCATGTGTATTTCCTGTGAATGTACCGACCATTAGAGCTGAGCTGACTGAGGCACACTGACTGCTGGTGCTAATCAGACAGCTATACAGAGCGTGCAACCTGCGCTTCACCCTTTCTGAAGCACACGAGCCTCTGTCAGGAAGATGAAAACGCTACAGGTGCTGAGAGACGTCAGAGGTTATTTCCCACACCTCCACAGGCTCTGCACAGTGCTGACCAAGCTGCGGCCTCTCCGCCTCTCCTCTGTAGCGGAGTCTCAGAGACAAGCCGTAAAGACCTGGCAGCCATAAGAGTGACCACTAGTGCACATCCATGCTTGTCATCACACTGATTCAGTGATTCAGAGAGAAGACCATAACGTATGGGCTGAACACAAGAAGAGGCAGTTAAGCCTTTCTTCCTCATTTGGTGGTCAGGAAACCTCAGACTCATTTGTACAGCCATTTCTGGAAAGATCACGTTGGATAAACGACACTCCGAACGGTCTTCTGCAGAAAGACACTGTGTCCTGCACTCAGTGCTTTGTGCACTCACACTAAGTCATTCCTGTGCTCTCACATGCTTCCTTTCTGACTGACCCTGAATTACATTCATTGTCTTTTCGATCACAGCTATTGCAACTGATTGCAGGAAAGGTAATAAATGAGAAGGGCCACAGGCCCATCTAGTCCTTTGGTAGTTAATAGCAAGCAATTGCAGAGGTCTACGTTAACCACCATGGTCATTCAACATGTCTGAAGCCAAGATCACCTTCTGAAACCATCAGCCACGCGAGCTCATCACAGCAGGCTAGCATCCCCACCCCTCTGCTCACTCAAATATTTAATGCAATCTGCGGTCTTCAGCCACGGAGAGAGATGGCAGGACTTCTACAAGTCCGTGTGTCCGTCCTGTTCAGAAAGCACTGCATCCTGAGGTGCAACAAAATGTGGGCATTTTCTGTTTCTACTGGGAATGTACAGGTTGTGAACAAGAATAAAAGAATAAAAAAAAACAAAGTCACGCATCAAGGCGCTGCGACACCATGTGAGGCCGGTTCAGCCTGTACATACTGGGGCACAGGTTCCCCCAGCGTCTGCAGGAGAAAACTGGCACCATTCTGCCATGAGAAAGCAAATCAGCTCATGCCTAGCTGATGAATGTGGAAAATCCCAGGCGTTACTCCAGACGAGTAGATAACATCAGTGCTGTGCTCATGAAAGCACTGGGAGGCCACACCTGCTGTGCGGACAGGAAGACACCCCCCCCCCAACCGGAGGTGAAAATGATCAATATTTTCCAATTAGTGGTGACACAGACCTTGTCTTGTAAGGGCATTGAACTGCACCCACACCATACCTGGAAAATGGGCCACAGAGCATTACCGAACCACCAGAACCCCTTGCTGTAGGGCCAGAGCGGTCTTCAGGTTGGTGGGTGTTTGTCTGGAACATGGTGGCCACATCACACTCCTCCACTGCTCGGTTCACAGCCTGCGCTCTCTGCCCCACTGGACTTGCAGAGAGAGCGGTCTGTGCACTGCAGCCTGATAATGGGAGTCAAAGGCACTGCCTGCTCGTGCCCCAGGTGAAATTTGCATTCAGCTGATATGCAGCTGCTTGCCTGTTTTACATACCACTATGCTGATGACTCACATCTTTCTTTTGGAAGTCAGTGGTGACATCAAATTCAAACTATCAACTCTTCTTTTAAAGTCTCTGCTACCCATAACTATCAGCGCACAGACCTGTCCAGCATTTCTGCACATGACTCTAAGCAAGTTGGGATATTTTTTAATTAATGCAGGAGTCACGCCAGTGTGGAAGGCCTTAATATACTTGACGTCCTTCATTTATCCAGGTGTTTCCATTTTCTTATCCACCTCCACATTATCAGTGCTTTCGGGGTACCGGCCGTTCAACTCTCAAGAGAGCATCACTGTGAAATTATGCCTTGTGACTCATCTTCTGTACCGCATGACAGTCTTATCCAGGAATCGGTTCCACAGAAAATCCATTTGGATTGGCGTTTCAACCCGAGCCGTCGATGGCCATGAAACGCAGTCAGCTGGGTCATGACTGGCAACAGGAGGGCTGTGAGAGATCCGATACCACGCTGCCTCACAGAAACCGAATGAGAGCACAGCCCACCGCCCCAGCAGCCTTGAACACAGAAGTGCCGGAAATAACCGAAGACGAGGTATAAACTCTGCCACGGCTGTGATACACCTCTGAGGAGCCGTGAGAGCTGGACGCGCTGGTCACTCACCGAGGCAGTTGTAAAGGCCCTGGCTGATCCATGCCAAAATGGCCAGAGTGATGAGATCCCCAAAGCTGGCCGCGATCGGGGTGGCAACATTGTCGGGGTTGATCCCCGTCTTCTTGGAGCCCACGATCACGCCAACCATGATGATACCTGAGGAGAGACGGGAAACACGCGCAGTCTCATCAAGCCTGGCCTCTTCAGCAGGACCCCCTCCCACTGGGCTCCCTGCTCTCAGAAGGACGTGGCCCTCAGGCCAGACACGGAAAAACAGGGAAAGGACTCCGCCAGTCCTGCTTCTGGGATTAAGTATTAAATTCTTCCATTTAGAGCTTTTCACCCCCAAGGTTCCCAGAGCACTTCACATACTGGAGGGACCCATTTCCTCACCACTGAAGTGCAACCCTTCCTGGGGGGTCTTTGTGCACCAGCGGCCCCCTGCCCAGCAGGTCAGGAGGACTGAGGACATGCATTCCAGGAGAATCTCAGTGAGACCAGGTTGTACCTTAGACCAGGTTCAAAAAGAACTTGTAGCGTCTCGGTGTCTTTAATGACCAAGCAGTGAGAACCCACCCACACTGGGGCACTGGTTTGAAAATTCTGGTGCAGAGGGAACAGTACCACTTACTGGTCCACAGCAGCAACCTGGTTTTCCTTGAGGTCTCTCATCCCAGTAGGGCCCAGGTCCAGCCTTGCTGAGCTCCTAAACTCTGATGAGATCAGGCTGGGAGCTGTTGGCAAACCTGCTGAAAGTCCTGTCATTTGCCAAACCGCTTTATACCATACGGCGTCGCGGGAAGCCGGAGCCTACCCGGCAAGCAACGAGCGCAAGGCAGGGTTCACCCTGGAGGGGGCGCCAGTCCATCGCAGGGCAAGTGCAGGCCAATCATACGGGGGACAATTTGGAGGCCACAGTAAAGGCCAAGGGGGGAAATTTGGCCTGGACACTGGGATAACTCTCTGCTCTTATCGAGAAGTACCCGGGGATCTTTAATGACCACTGAGAGCCAGGACCTCGGTTCAACGTCTCATGCGAAGGACCGGCTGCTGAGGTGCTGCTATCACAAGCGAGCCCTACCTTGCAGCAGCGAGGCGATGAAGGCGGTGGCCACGCTGCTGGAGCACAGCAGCACGGCGTGGCTCAGCTGGAACTTGCCCTCGGGGATCCAGCCCAGGACCACGGCCGCCACAGCCGCCAGGAACCCCACCACCGTCGCCTGCACCTGCAAGCACACGCCCCCACAGCTCGTCAGTCCAGACGGGCTCGTCCGGCCGCCGCCGAGCTCCGCCCTCCCGGGCCCGGGGCTGTCTGCCCGACGACGACCAGACCGGAGCGGGGCGCACCTGCAGGGCTCAAGAGTTGGGGTGCTGTAGGTCTGGGGGGGTACCTTTCAATTCCCTCCTGCTTGGATCTAGTAAAACGCTGCTGATCTGGCTTCTAGCCTGATTAATCAGAACTTCAGGACAGCTGAAATGAGAGGCGGGACTGGCTCCACGCAGCTCGTGTGGTCCAATGACTGCAGCTCAGTTCACCTCCAACACATGCCAGTGCGCTATCAACGGGGCCATCCTGTACTGCCGAAGGGTCCGACTGTGGCCGACACTGGACTGACAGGTCACTCAGACTCTCTCCAGTCCGATAACGTCAGATCATTTCATCACAGGTCCTAGCATACCCACAGTTCTTTAACTCATGAGATCGGCGCAGCTCCAGAAAGCAAGGACGCACACGTCTGAGGGAACAGGGGAGACGGGTTTGGCAGAGCTGATGGAGAACTCGTCGGTGCTGTAATGTCGTAACTCAAGCTGGGTGTGCTGTGTGTCACGGAGGTCTGTTAGTGGGATCTCTCTGCGACTGGTTAGGAACCCTAGTTAGCAGTAAAGATAGCAGTGTGGAGGAGCTGTCAGGCTTGGGCCCATAGCTGGAAGGTTGAGGCTACAAATCCCAGATGAGACACTGCTCTTATACCTTTAATAAAAGCATTAGACTTTAGACAAATTGCTAAAAAAAACAAGTGAGGTGCCCCAGAACTGTGTAGCATAAACTTATACCAAACGCACAAGCAAGAATAACTACCTGCTTCAGGGCAAGATTCCCAATAATAAGATTCCACTTCTCTATAGGAGAGTCCATTTTTCCCACATTCACCTGCCAAGGAAAAAAGACAGCTTTGTATTATTTCACCAGTCACACACTTCTAGGAATCTGAAAGGGCTGCTCTTAATATGCCAATACTGTCATTATCCTGTCATCTGCAGCTGCTTGGAGAGTACAAGACCTCCAGTCCTCTCAGCCAAATAACTGATTAATGCTGAAAGTATCATTAATTATAATTATAGAGTAATAATAATTATAATTATAGATGAGCACAGATTGTGCCACATCCTAGACTGGGATTTAACGGTGGTCATTAATAGCTGAGAAAGGAATCCAGAAACATTTCTGATGGATTAACGAAGTGCCCAGTTAAACAGCTGAAAACAGCTGAATTCTCTCCAATTGCGAATCCTGAGTTTAGACAAAATTGGGGGGAAAAAAAACAAGGATAACTGTCATAAGAAGATAAGAAAGTTTAAAAAGGTGATGGGACCCAGCTAGTTTGGTATTCAGTGATTTGTCTTCTTGGGTTCTATGAGTCTCGTCACTACAGGTCCGGGCGCGATTCTGGACCATTCGGGTTCAGAGCAGATTTTAAACACAGAAACAGTTATTAAGGCAAGACGAGACGACACCACACGTAAGCTTCTCTTCTATAAAAAAAAACATTTTAATGACACAGCTGAAACAGAAATGGGTAAGACGCACTACAGGAATGTCCCTTAAGCACCACTTACTGCCCTCCTGCAGAGTGTTATTACAGCCCCAGGGCGAGAGGGTGGTTCTGGGACAGCTGATGTCATGCGGTAAACAAGAGGCGCGGGGGTCCGGGGTGAAGCTCCTGCTCATCGTACACCGGCCCCCGCGAGCACCTGGCCCCCTCTGAGCCCAGGGTCCCGGGACCGGAGCTCGAGGAGCGATCTGTGCTTACCGCAGTGGACAGCCTGGATGCCAGCGTCATCTCCAGATTCCCCTTCAGCCCCAGGAGCGCCGGAACCAGGATGAAGATTTCGGTGACGTTCTTGAAGGCCTCCCAGTGCTGTCGGAGAGAGTCGGGTGGGAGACGTCAAGGCGGTGGGGCGCAGGCCCCATAAACCCCCACTGACACGGCCGGCGAGCGCCTGCGGTCTTCAACAGGAAGGAGGAGCAAGAAGTGCCGAATCTTTCGGGAGACCGAATTAGGAGTTATAGGAGTTTTATAACATTGAACAGGAGCCGGATTTTTTATTTTCAGAAAACGCGCACTAAGAAGAACACACTGTAAAGGTCCTGTGTACACAGCCCCTAAGCCACCTCACCTGTGCTTTTCAAGATGACACAGGGAAAAGGCAAACAGGCTTCTAAAGGCAGAGTATACTTTTATAGTAGCGTCCAACTGCAGGCTCTTGGACAGGAAAGTGGCTCAGCAGGCTGAGGTTCTGCCTCACACTAGCACCCAGCTGCTACATTCCCTGCACCCGTGCAAACGGCACAGGACCGCATGCAAGCAGACGCCAGCCCTGCGCCGCTTCCTCTCAGCGGCAGAGCTGCGGCTGTGACCATGTGCCCTGCGGCAGAGGGGATTTAGGCACGAGCCCCATAATTAACTGGTTCACTTTCCGACTCTTAACAGGGGCCAATTACAGTTCCTCGCGGAGACGAGGTTCGAGCATCACCCCCCCCCGTAATGAAAAGCAGGACCGCGGACACGGCGTCTCTCCCCTCCCGGCCCACGAGCTCAGGCACCTGCACGATGTCCAGCACCATCCCGGCCGACACCGTGCCGAACCCCGCCAGGAGGAAGGGCAGCAGGATCTGCAGGGCCATGGCTAGGGGGGACTCCTTGGGCATCCTCCTGGCCGCCTCCTGCTCCCTCAGCTCCTCCTCCTCCTGCTCCTCCTCCTCCTCCTCCTCTCCCGACAGCCGGCCCTCGGGCAGCATGGCGTCCGTCTCGGAGTAGCAGCGGTCCCCGTGCTCCGAGTGCGCCGACGCCCTGCGCCCGCGCTCCGGGTGCCGGCGGCTCTCGGCGTG